GTGGTGCATGGAGAAGAGAGCTATTGTCGTAAAGCTCGGTGGCTTGACCAAGCACCTCCACTCTTATTCATCAACCCACGGCCTTGTCGTTCCATATAAAAAAGCTTCCTGCACCCAGCCACCTTGCCACGACACGATGTCCTATTGTATTAGTGGGTGGTGTTGCATACCAAACCGTGGATTCACGACAATGTTCATGTCATCGCCGACGAAATGGGCCTATCTCAAGCAGCTCAGCTTGCTCTACTGCAAATGATATGCTGACTCTTTCCCTGATCGAAATACCATGAGAACAATTTTAAAGTGCTTTTTCTGTTGTCGCGCACTGGTGCAGAGCTTCCACATGCCTCCCACCGCTCATTACAAGACTTTGACAAACGAAAGAAGGCGTTCGCAAGCACTTTCTCAACTTTCAAATCATCATTACCCAGAATAGACGCAGGCTCTGAGGAAGCATGTACCGATTATGAGAAATGTACCGTGGGTACTTGAAGCTGGTAGTTTTTTGATGAGTTCCAAATTTAATTTGTGGACTGAGTAAAAAAGTCGTCTTACCTATCTCAAGGCTCTATTAGTCGCTTTAGTGTAGGACAACCGTCTAGAGCGTACTCTTATGCTTGGTTTTGCGATGAATGAAGCACGTCGAGGTGAAAACCCGTCATCTTCACCTCCTGTTGTTTACAGCCTCATTCTTTTCCGTGAGGCTACTGTAGCAGCTACTTACCAGCGTTTTTCTCAGCGCAAAGTTTGTTGCCACTCATAAGTAGAAAGTGCACTGCAATGGGCGATCCTGCCACTTCTCCAAGAAAGATCAAGACCAAGGGTGTGCCATGTCATAAGCGGTCACGGCACCAGGGCAGTCATAACAAAGTAGAGCCTCAAATTTTTCGAGCTCTCCAAATGGATATTTTTTTTACCACATCACGACTGTAAAAATTCCTAGTATATCCGCCGGCACACCGACCATTCCACTTGAAAGTGGGCCGCCTTTCTTGCCAAGCAGTGGCAACGACAGTTGACCATTTCGTGGCTACCTCTCGCGACCTCTCTCAGTGGTGGTGGCAACGCTTACTTTACTTAAGAATCTCGGTGTGCATTCGTAATTAAGACGGGACAGACCCCGAATTTGCACACTGAAATTTGTCAGCGCAAAGCCGGACTTGATGCCCTTGTTCTACGAAACCGCGTCGCTGCTTTGAAGCGGAGAGTAACACAGGTATAGGGGTAGTGAAGTGCTGCGTCGTCTGCAGCGGATCTCACTGCCTGGTAAGAACAGGATCGTGATATGGCTTCAGTACGCCAAAGTTGGATACAAAGCGTCTTTATGTTTTCTTTGGTTTGTTGGATATACGGCTCAATCCATTCAGCGCTACAACCGTGATGATCGATGTAGCGCGGTCGCAACTTGGCCTTTCAGACTCCAGACACCGAATTAGAAGGCATTTCAATTACATTTGATAGACCCTTTTGTCTCACAACCTTTTTACTTGCGCTCCTTCTGTCTCTGACATCGACACATTGCTCTAGTATATCTTGATTTTTAGACATAGCGTTGAACATAACGCTCCGTTAGTCCGCTGATTTTGCAAAAAATGTGGTAAGGCTTATATTATTAGCACAAATTTAATCGACAGTTCCTCTCCACTTCAAATGAGGACACCTCGTGGTGGAGTTAACAGCTTTCGAGTTCCGCAAACGATTTCTGTAAAAATGAGCATATCCTGATAAGGATTGCGATAGGTAATTTAACGCGAAGCTTGTTCGGTCGAAGGAGCCCGATCAAGTTCGCCAATTTACCAGTGCAAATGCTTCAAAACCTGTCTCCTCATCGCGACTTACGCGTTGCATCTGACCTTTTGTTTGCGGGTGGTCAGCGCTTGATGCTGAGCGATTTGAACGTTATGCATTGAAACTTTGCAATTTGGCGCGAAAAATATCCAAGACGAGGGTTTTTGTTAAGCGAATTTGGCGAAGCATTCTGTCAAAGAACATCTAAGCTTAAACCGTATCTAGCACACTATTTCTGCGATCAGCTAGATGAAGAATTTCTCTCAGACGGTCCACAAAGACCACAAATACAGGTAATTCTAGT